CAACAAGCTTCCTTTTGCAAGTCAACAGGTTATGAGCCCGAGTGCAGTCACTCGGGTGCCGTCTCTACTCACACCGAGACCCATTTATCTCTTTGATTTGTGATTATATATTACCCCGCTTTCTCAAACATCATGTCGGCTCTTGCCCAGGACTCTCCTGACCGATCCGTCATGGCCATTGAGCCTCTGACAGGAAGCGATAACTTCGCAACCTGGAAACGTCTCATGACCTCCTACCTGAAAGCAAGGCAGGTCTGGGACGTCGTGTCGGGCGATCTCCAGCGTCCTGATTGCCAGTTCAAATATGCCAAGCCAATCACGGCGGACATCAGTCCGCTTGTGGAGCCCCACCTCAATGGAGCCGTGAGGCAGCGAGCAATTGAAACCCGCCTCGAAGTGGAGGTCCAAGCTTTCGAGCGCCATAAGGAATGGTCGCGACGTGAAGCCGATGCCTACCACATCATCTTGCGATATCTGTCACCTAATGTTAGCATCCATGTCGCGGGGCTGGAGACGTCCCGCGACCTGTGGAATGAACTCGAAGAACGGTACCGGCGCATGGAACTCGCCACGTTTTGCGAGCTGTTCGCCCAGCTTCGTGAAACGACAGGCGATAGTTGCGCCAGCGCGCGTGAATTTGTCGACCGCGTACGACTGTTGGTTCATCGATTGAACACCATCGCACCAGGATCCATTGGCGATCGTGCCCACATTGCGATCTTGTTGACGCAGATCGGACCGGAGTACATCCTGATTGTGGATGCTATCCAGAATGACAAGGATCTAGTCGATCCGACCACGGTCGGAAACCGTCTGGCTAATGCCGAACAGACGGTGCGGGGGAAGAACTCTCCCACACCACCACAAAGGGGGCCGGGAGCATCGATCAATACGATCCAAACCAACACACGAAAGTGCTCCCATTGCAAGAAGCGAGGCCATGTGCCCGCGAAGTGTTGGAAGAAACACCCTGAATTGCGTCCGCAGAAGGACCATGCCGACAAAGCAGAACGAAGTGCTTCCGGCTCACCAACATCATCAAGCCAGGTGGAAGAACGGCAGGGCCCGCCGACTTCCAAGAGACCGAGGATCAATATCGTGAGGGCGGGGGTGACGACCCTTTATACCCACGCGCCGCAACCCCGGTGGATCCTGGACTCCGCCGCCACTAGCCATATCTGCTGGGACCGAAGCTGCTTTAGTAGCCTGCGGCCCCACCATGAGATGCTGGACACAGCGGGCGATCCAGTGGAAGCCGAAGGGATTGGTACGGTGAAGCTCACGCTCCCGGGGAAGTTCAACCACCCCCTGGTGTTAAAGAATGTTTACTTCGCGCCACGCATCGGGATGAACCTGATCAGCGTGCCGAAGCTATTACGAGACCGCTACTCAGTGGTGGCGCACCCACAGAACGTCTTTGTGCAACGCCGAGGACGAACGGTGGGGACCGCCTACCATGCGGAGGAGGATCTGTTGATCCTGCGGTGCTATGTGAGCCAAAGATCCCGAGAACGAGTCCAACTGGCGAGGACGCCGACGGACCGTGTCCATGCAGATTCCCTGGAACCACAGGCGGTGGACATGGACGTCGACGACCCTCTGGAGTTAAGTGGTACGCAAGGCACGGCGACCACCTCTGAACTCGGTGGTGAAGCTCGGATACTCGAAGAAGATGCGAACACAGGAGTGGACCAGGCCACCGAAGCGCTGTGGCACGCTCGGATGGGACATCTGAATCGGGGAGACTTAAGGGTGGTCCTCCGTCAGACCGGCACTCCGTACCGACAGCTGACCCGGGCAGAACTGCTGGCAACGCCGCAGTGCCCGGCGTGCATGTCGGGTAAGCAGCATCAGAAGAGGAACTCCCGTGCAAGACGGCCACGTCTGCACTCGACAAGAATATTTGAAATGATCCATTCGGACATTATGGAAATGCCAGTCGCCAAAGATGGCTCCAGGTACGTCATCACCTTCACTGACGATTATTCTCGTGGCTCGTGGGCATATGCTATGAGATGGAAGCATGAAGCGCTGTCTAAGTTCCGACAATTCGAGGCCTGGGTGCACCGACAGTTCGGCGCCCGGATCAAAAGATTCCTTACCGACAACGGAAGAGAATACTTGCCTATCGGAACACACCTCGAGTCCCAGGGAGTTGAGTTTGATACCTCGCCGCCGTATTGCAAAGGGCAGAACGGACTGGCTGAGCGCACGAATCGCACTATCCGGGAGCGGATCAACACGCTCCTGTCCGATGCGAAACTTCCTCCTTCCTGGTGGCCCGAGATCCTGGAAACGGTAGTCTATCTGAAGCTGCGCGCACCAGCATCAATCCTACAGAAAAAGACACCGTATGAAGTCATATACGGGAAGCCGCCTAAGCTCTTGCATCTTCGACGGATCGGCTCCCGAGCATGGGTATTAATCCCAAAAGAGCATCGAGCTAAACTCGGACCAAGATCGTCTGAATGCCGACTGCTCGGTTATTGCGAACCCAATCAGTACAAGCTTTACGAAGTACACTCTGGAAAGACAGTCTTTTCCCGTGATGTCGAGTTCGATGAAAGGACCCCTGTGGCGCCGCTCATCGAGGGGGAAACAGGCAACGACCTCCCGGATAACGCTCCTCCGTCACCTGTCTATCCTGAACCAATGGCGCCTTCATCTAACGCACCACTTACGCCGCCTCCGTCCTATCCGTCGCCTGATGATCTAGAGAACGTGCCTTGTGAACCAGTTGATAACATGCCTTCTGAACCAGTTGATATTCCTTCACCCGTCAACCCGGTCCCTGGCGAAACACAAGCCACACAGGACCTAGGCTACTCCTTGTATGGCCGAAGACGAAGACCTTCCAGGCGTCTCTTGGAGTCTCTAGGCAAAGTTTATGCAACAGGGACATTAAATGCAACTGTCATAAAAGACATGGATCCCTTGACCTTCTACGAAGCCGTGTCAGGACCCAACCAGCTGGAATGGTGGGCCGCGATCCAGAAAGAATACGCTTCGCTTCTCGAGCATGGCACATGGGAGAAGGTTCCACGGAATGAAGTTCCCTCCAGGGATCGGATCATTGGCTGCAAGTGGGTATTCAAGACGAAGGCTAATGGAATTCGGAAAGCGCGACTGGTGATCAAAGGCTACCGACAGAAATATGGCATCGACTATCACGAAACCTTCGCGGCCGTGTCCCGAATGGATTCGGTCCGCAGCATCGTTGCAAGTGCCGTGCTGCGTGGATGGAAACTCCACCAATTCGATGCCGTCACTGCCTTTCTCCACGGTGATGTCGATTCGTCTATCTATATGGAGCTTCCAGAGGGCTTTGAGGAAGACGGATACGTCTGTCGACTTCGACGCTCCTTGTACGGACTGAAGCAGGCACCACGGATTTGGTACCAATGCGTCCAGCGTGTTCTGGTGGCTCACGGCTTTACCATGGCCCAGTCCGACAATTGTGTCTTCTATAAGCCAAACTGTGTCGTCTGCGTCTACGTCGATGACTTTCTGGTTGCAGCATCGAACGACGCCGAGATCCAGCAACTTCAAATGGCCCTGGAATCGGAGTTCAAGCTAAACGATCTGGGAACCCCCCGTTCATTCCTAGGAATCCAATTTGACTTCCACGCAGATGGATCTATTTCCATTCACCAACATCAATACATCCAAAAGGTGCTTTCCGACTTTTGCATGGAGACCTGCCAGCCGAAATCCACACCGATGGCACCAAAGACTCTCCTGAATTACGTTCCCGAAGAAAGCGACCTGGATGAAGATGCGAAGGCTCGGTTCGGGACAGCAATCGGGTCACTAATGTATCTTATGGTCGGTACGCGCCCTGACATCGCGTTTGCGCTTGGGATGTTGAGTCGCTTCACATCCCGACCGCAGTCGCATCATCAGGCCGCATTGCAGAGACTGCTACGCTATGTCAAGGCGACGCAATTCTATTGCATCACATACCGCAGCGGGCAGTTGATCGGATATACAGATGCCGATTTTGGTGGCTCTGTTGTTACCGATGGTGCATACTCCACGTCCGGCTATGTGTTCAAACTTGCAGGAGCACCAGTTTCCTGGTCGTCCAAAAGACAGGGGGAAGTGGCGACGTCCACGACTCACGCCGAGTACATTGGCCAATATAACGCCATTCTTCACCTACAATGGCTCCGCACATTTCTAGCGGAAACCCACCTGTTTCGATCACCGGTGACCAACATCATGGCTGACAATCAATCTGCCATTGCTCTCTCCCGCAATCCTGAGTTTCACAAACGGACGAAGCATTTCAACGTGAAATTCCACTACCAGCGAGCCGTTCTGAACAAAGGGGAGATCTGTCTCGAATACGTTCCAACTGAGGAACAGGCAGCTGATGGACTGACCAAGCCTCTGGGACCCTCTCCATTCACCAAGTTTTGCAATCTCTTAGGAATTGGCACTGAAGTACACATGAAGGAGGAAAATGTGTAACGGCGATGGCGCTCTTTCCACTATTTCTTCTCTTTGAGGTTTTGAGTGGTTTTACCGAGGCCAGACCGATGTGCATGCATTCAGTATCGCCTCGCAGCAAGGCGATCCTGAGGGGGAATGTTGTGATACCAGGCATTTGCTGCTCAGGAATGAAGCCGCAACATCGGAAATAATTCCAGCTCTATGTATAGGAAGAACCAAGTTGATTGGAAATCAACTTGGACTTCATGTTGTATATATAGCCTCATGTATTCTCTCAAGAAGAACAATCAACAAGCTTCCTTTTGCAAGTCAACAAAACGCACCGCCTTAGTTGCAAGAGTAGATGTTGAGCGCGATCGATAGTGCACCTGAATTGGCTGATCATGCGCATACGAAGAACAAAACATTTCCTTCTTGACCAGTACGCCCTAAAACGCATCCTGGGTCTCATTCATTCGAGGCTAATAAAAACAATTGGAGCAACATATGTGCTTTTCAAACGAAGGCAAGGCTCTGTCTCCTTCCTGCTGTATTTCATCGCTCTGATGGTCACCGCGAAGCCATATTTGGCCGGGCTAGCTAGTTTATTTCGGAACTATCTTAGTGAGCTCCCCCACTGGCACCAGCTAACTTCCATCCATACTTACCGCCAACAGCGTCCACTGTCCACATTCAGTCCTCAAATGAAATGCACGACATGCTTACATCGTGGATTTCTTCCCGTGGGTTGGAGAGCACGGCAAGGTCCTTCCTGGCTAAAGTGGATACCGCACCGGGGGCTACGATGAACGACACAGATAAAAAGCTGCTGAAACTGTTGCCTCACCAGGGGTCGTTTTATTTTTGGTATAAGGGCCAATTGCTATTCTACGAGGCTAGGCAGGAAGACTACCGCTACTTCGATCAGGAGAAGATCACATTAACTTCACTGGGGCGGTCATCCTACATCCTGAAGGATTTTCTCCAGGAATGTCGTTCCGAGTATCTGAATAAAATCAGAGATAAGATCACCATATTCGGTCATCGTGGCGTTCAGTGGAAACGGGATCGGGTCAAAGAGGCTCGGCCCTTGTCAACCGTGATTCTCCGCGAGAGTGAAAAGGCACCCCTGGTAGCAGATATGAAAGACTTCCTCAATGCACGAACCAGAAGATGGTATGCACAACGGTCCATCCCGTATCGGCGAGGCTACTTACTGCATGGGCCCCCCGGCACGGGCAAGTCTAGTTTTAGTCTCTCCGTAGCGGGGGAACTGGGCTTGGACATTTATACTGTAAGTATTCCCGCCGTGGACGACCAGTCGCTCAAATCTCTATTTCAAGAACTTCCAGCGAATTGTGTCGTCTTACTCGAGGACATCGATGCCGTAGACTCGGCACATTCTCGAGATTCAATGGCTGCTACGCCTGCTTCCGGGCAGGAGTTGTCGACAGTGACAAAGGGAGTGAGTCTCTCTGGGCTTTTGAACGTCCTTGATGGCGTGGCCTCTCAGGAGGATCGAATTTTAATCATGACCACGAATCATGTCAATGCATTAGACGCAGCACTCATTCGGCCAGGACGTGTCGATAGAACGGTCCGGTTCCAGCTCGTCGACCAGGACGTTGCCATGCAGATCTTTCATTACATGTTTGCCCAGCAAGGGGATGCGTCAAATCAAGACCCTCACAGTCAGCCTAGACTAGGCGTTGAAAGTCAGGCCAGGGAGTTTGCTCGGAAGATTCCGGAAGGAAGGTACAGCCCAGCTCAGGTGATGTCCTATCTGCTCCAACATAGAAACGAACCAGATGTCGCACTAAGCAATCTCGAAAGATGGGTGGAGAGTACCAATGGACCAATAGCCCCCGTCCAGAGACGCTCAGTATCAGCACCGTAGCCTTGGGCAAAAGTCCAGCGTAAACTGGGATAAGATGATAGCATGTCATATAGTCAAATCTCAGACTAGGTCTAATACTGATTGTTCTCTAATAATGGTAGATTAGAGACTATCTTTCCTCAATGGAATAATTCATATAAATTAGTATATGGGCAACTAGAGCCTGGTGCCTAGAGCCAGTCGTCGAAGCCGAGCGGATAACACATCAAGAAAAGCTAACAGTTGTTATCTGGGTAAGCTCAAGGTTCATAACATAGCGCTGTACAATCTGTGAGGGTATGGAAGAAAGGGCAGCGATTCCAGGGCCGAGTTCGGACACTCGATCTTCTCAAAATAGAAATCAAAGTGCAGTGTTGTTATTTCTACCATTAAAGAGAACTTAGCACCAGGAGTGTGGCTAAAAATTGGTCTTGTAACAAAATCTAGCGGATAAGTATCTAGGCAACGAATGCCCTCAGTAAGGATAATATGCGATTGACTCATTTCCAGTTTTCAAGTCTTAGGATGGGTCCGATATCGATCGAGTCTATTAGGCACCAATAACATCCAGCTCCAGCCGCCTGTTCTTGCCTCTCACGACATGCAGAAGCGCAAGTAAAGCCATGACATGGCCCAAAATAATGACCAGTATTGTGCTTCGCTCTGGACATGCCAACTGAACACTTTGAAACGGGCCTGGTGGACCAAGAATGGTCGAACGAACAACAGAGTGCTCATTCCATACTAAAACTTGATAGAGATTGTATGGTTTCCAGGGTTGGCTTTCTAGGTTCGGTTCATGTCCGTACTGCTCCGTAGCCCATTGCTCGTAATCTTTTTGTGACTGGCGACCTAAATCCTCTTGAGCATGTACAGGAGACATCGATGACTATTTGGCTGATCAGTTTGCATGTAACTTAGGCATTCTGTTCTGGGTATTTCTGTACCTACAGCGCGCTTGTAATGTGTTTGAAAGGTAGAGAAGGTTGCTGAGAGGAGCTGCCTAGCAAATTAAGGCGCCTTTCTGTGAGATTGTACACTCGATGGTAATTTAGTATGCCTCTCCGAGAGGAGCCTACGGAATTCTTTTGTCCAATCAAGTACGTCAAATTTCGTACAGAATTCTGTTCCTACTATGTAAAATTAGACCTTTATATCAAAGCGGATTTCCATGCTTAAGAAGCTCACCTGTACCGGGTGGGGTGTCGGCTGCAGGAATGGTAATATCATGTTTAAATTACTTCGTTCTTTTGTGACAATTCAGGTGGGGCAGCTAGCACCCTTGCCTCATTTTTTAAGCTAGCCAGCAAACATAACGCTATAATGCAGTCAACATTACTATACAAGTAACTTCACGGAAAAAAGGATTTCACACGAAGCATAATTAAGATTGGCAACGCTCACAACCAAACCAGATGACGAACACTGTTTAGAATTTTCAGACATCGTCACACCTGATTTGGCGCTGAACAGTGAACGTGCCTGAAATATATTTCGATCAAGATCAGCACCTCGCTAACCCCTTCATCATGATGCCTTGGAACTTTCTGATCTGGAAAACCACATATATGCGAATTGAATATCACATACCTACGTCCTCAATAATCCAGAGTTGGGACAATTTCACATCTTGCCCATATACCCACATCATATGTTGAAGACCAGCGAGGTGGTAGCGCCTACTCGTCGCATTTCGGTCAATGGGAAGGGACTACCCGCCCCCCTCGGCTGGTATTTCGTATCATTACGTCCATAAACGCTACTTTTTATGCTATTGTCTATGTCGATTTCCCCTCAGCTCAAGCGCTTATTACCTCTTGAAAAGAAATGTATAGTATTATGTTCGATACGTACCTAGATTAGTTCTATTTCTTTCAAGTAGCTCTTTCGACTTTCAGTGTTTCCTTTGAGTGGGCACTAGCTGCAGGTTTTGAGAAATTGGCGATATACTGTATCGACCTCTTTTCAGTATGGAAGTAGACTCTTTATCTGACTATACTTCTTGTCGAAGACCGCTTTTAGAAGCAATCTCGGTTCATAAGACATAAAATGAACGATCCAACATCATTAGAGTTGGCCCTCTCCTAAAAGGTCTATTATTCCCGTATTATTCAATAATTGCAGTCCAAGCTATGCTCTCTCATCATGCGAGGGCTGCCCCTCGGAAGGCCTCAATGCTATGATACTAGAAGGGAGTAATTGACGTGAGTTGGAAGAATCACTGGTTTCCTCCATATTTCGTACAGGATCTTCCCATCTATGCGAGTAAGGCGTCCAGTGATTAAGACAACATTTCTCTACAAGACGAATCCGATTGAAAATAATGCTTCATCTGTAATAGATCACTTCGATGTCACAAAGCGCAAACTGTTCATTCCATATGATGATTGCGACTCAACAATATTTTTGCCTTTCATATGATTTGCTATGTTTATCTTGCGCGAGGATAGTCGGCTGGAAAAGTGAGCTTCTCGATAGGATTGAAGCCAGTTCGCGACAGATCACTCGAGAAGCGACCGTACGCACGGTTTCGTACTGCGAAACACCTAACATCAAGTGGTTGTGGTAGATGCGAGGAATGCGAAGCCACGTAGAGCTTTACTAATTTCGGAGCAAATTCGATCCAATTGAGGTCTAGGTGGCTATCGCGCCCGTCAAAGGTCATCTGCTGGTGTAGCTAGATACTGCTGATCTGCTGCCTTCTCGTCCCTTGATAGCCATCCTTTCCTTAAATTTGTTCCAGGCAAATGCCACCGCTGTCGTGGTAGCTGTATCCCAGCCAACCGGAAATCTGCTGAAAGATATCTGCGCCCACTTCCAATGGGCTGTGAAGCCTGAACTCTTCGTTTGGGTTTTCTCCAAAATTGCTGCAAATTCAAGATTTTGACTATGAAACATGGCTTTGAGTTAGAGCGTTGGAAACAAAAGCTCTCTGTTCTTTGGACGGACGGAAATTGGAGGCATGCAACAGTTGGAAGGGAGGATCATTTGCAACGTGAACAATAAGATATCCGTCCTGCCAAGTAAGGCAGATTGCCCATATATTTTCCGCCAAACTCATGCCGCGGTGGTGGCCAAATCCGTGGAGTCTATTTGTACCCGTTTGAGAACATTCCCAAATGCTGTTGCCTTTGATATTGATAAGATTAGCAAGAGAACTACGAGCCCCATTCACCGATTCGGCCAACAACACAAGAGGTATATGATCCATGCTATCTCGCACAATTTGCGTACAACCGACAGGGGCCTTCTGGCCTGGAGATGATTGTAGGCATTCGTCACTGCGCTGCGCTGATTTTTGTGACTGGCAGCCCGGCTTTTTATATTCATGGGCGTAATCTCCCATGTCTCCAAGATTAGGCATACAAGGCTACTGAACTCACCCTTGCCCAAGATCCTCCCTCTTAGTTGATAATTGATGGATGATGAGTATCGGTAATGCAAGCGAAAAATGGTCCTTGCTTATCTAGGGCGGCTAAGAGTATCTTCGGGTCTCCATGATAACCTGACCATGCTAGGATGGGCCGCGCTGTCCTTAACACGAGTCCGAGAATTGTCGCAGTGACACCATGTCTGACATTCGCTTGGTTACAGTATTTGCCCCCTGGTGAGGGTAGTCTGATTTACTGGAAATATCTGCTCTTATATTGAGGGTTCGGTAGAGGATTGAGTCGACTTGGCTGAGCCTGAACCACACAAAGATCGATATAATACGACGATATAATACGATGTTGAACGAGATACCAGGCAAACCTCTGGTGGCGAAAGGACAAGATGAAGTTGCTTGCGGAAATAGGTAGAGGGATTGGAGCAGAAAGCCACTGAGTCACACGGGGTTGGAAAAGACCAATAGGCAGTATGCTGATTCAATCAGTGAGCAAGTGCGAGCCAAATTTGGATGCCAGTACTGTATGTCCGTAACACTGGCTTACAATACGGTATAATCGTGACATCACCGTGACAAATTGTCGTAACACCTTTCGTAACAGATGGACTAGCTCGGTCACATGAAGTACCTAGGGCTGAACTTCAGAAACAAAGTTCGTACGCAACGGTAGGTACGCAACGGTAGGTAAACCTCAATACTAGTACAATAGCTCAATAATATAATTATATGTGTGAAAAGAGAATTAGATATTCTGGACCACTGTAACGAGGGGAAAAAGTTTATTCTATGCGGGTTGGCGCGTGATTGCGCAGCCACCTCCGATCAACACGATGTATTATTGATCTAAAAGTAGAAATCATTCGACTGGAGAGGCAGTGGATTTACATGGTAAAATATTTTTAATTGTGTTGCAGGTATCTTGCGGCATACCTCCGATAAAACCCTTCATTACTGCAAGGAATTCGTAGTTGTTCGTAGTTGGAGCATAAGAACACGAGAAATAAGATTAAGGCACTGTAGCAGACTTCAGTACTGTAGAGACTCTACTTGTGAGCGAAAGCGTAGACGTGAACCACAAGAATTGGAAAGCCGAGACCTCCTTGCATTTAGCAGGAAGATATGGTTACACTGACGTGGCTCAGATGATAATGGAAGTCGACAAGGTTGATATTAACCTGAAAAACGCAAATGATGAGACTCCTCTCTTCTTAGCGGCTTACTATGGGCAAACCTCTGTGGTTAAGCTATTGATAAACAGCAGGGACGTGGATATCAATGCAAAGGCAACGAACGACTTCACGCCTTTGTCGGTGGCGGCCTATCAGGGTCATCGAGAAGTGGTTAAATTGTTACTTGCCGTACGGAATATCAAGGTTGCGGAGGTAACCTTTCTGGCGATATCGCCCTCTCTCTGGCAGAACGCCGTGGGTGGGATGATATAGTACAGTTGTTGTTACAATATGATTGATAACTTTGAGCGCGATAGGAGAAATTTTCAATTTTGCTACAATATCTTAGAACTCAAACGACAACATTTATAGCGTATATACAAGAGCTTCCTGGGGGGTTGAGTCTTCTTGTAGGCCATCTTGGCCGAAGAAAGCATTTAGAGTTGCTCTGAAACTGCCCATTA